ATTGGAGCATGAAGTATACAATACATTGTGTGCTGTAAGATATTCAGTTTGTTTTAAAAGTAACTAAAGTCTTGTGATAAACAATGAAGTTATTTTGGTTTATTCTGTTTTTGCTCTAGAGGAAAAGAAAATACATCCAATTTAGTAAATTACTCGCACCTATTATTCCGGTAGACTTTGCTTGTCATTAGAAATATTCAAAGGTAACTCTAATTTGTTTTCATATTATCCAGGGCATATGCCGATTGTTAAACCAAATAGAATCTAATTTTTAAACATTTTAAAATATGAGCATTTGTATTTTTCTTTTTAGAATTTCATACTAGAAGATCTCAGATGTATTTAATATGCTGTGACATACTAAAGTAAACACACAGCATATAAAATGAGCAGTTTGTATCTGCCCTACTTTCAGTTGTCAAAGTCTTCTATTTTGGCAGAAGTGTCGAGGATGGTAGAATACTTCCACAAATGAAATTACAGGAAAGCCAGGATGAAATAAAGTTTTATATTTTTAAAACTTTTTATTTCAAAAAGACACTCACTAAAAAGTAGATTAAGTCCAAAATTTGATCTACCTTAAAATTGTTTTAGTATTCTGCACTGTATTTTTTTTTAAAGTACTTGAGTACAAGAAATGATTAAAGAAAAATAACTACAGGGCCAGTTTTTCAAAACTTTTGGCTAAGTTACATGTGCAAATCATGAATTTCCATATACAGATGGCATGTCAGTGCACGGATGTCCATTCATTTCTGCAGTTTAAGCAAACACTTTTGAAAACTAGGTTCATATTATTTTGTTTTATTGCACCAATAGCCAGCCAGCAGACAGAGCATAAATTAACTGACAAAATTTATTTCCAGATCTGTGTCAATGTCTGTGACAGTGATATCAAAAAGAATGAAAGGAAGCAGAGCTGAAAAAAACTGGGTGTAGAAGGAAAACATTACCCCAATATTTCATAAATTGGAAAGGACAAAACTAGTGAAGTAAAATATTTCTAATCTTCTATTAGGTTAAAGAGCAGAGAGTAGAAATCAAATGATAAATAAGTTCTTGACAATATATTTTATCTTTTTGCTCACTTTTCAGAATTTTTTACGTAACTGTAATGTACTTAGATAAAATAATGGGGAGAGGTGAAAACTTCATTGAGATCATATTCAGATGATGAAGCATATAGATTCATTACATGATTTGAGAGAAATAAAATCTTAAATTACTTTCTGGAATTTTCTGTTCAATATGGTTGTTACAAGCAATACGATTGTTCTGAGCCATATGATGATCGCCACTTCATAAATTAGGATATCAGAAATATGCTACCACTATAATATCTGCCAGCAGCTGATAGCTTACTCATATCATTTTTGCCCCAAAGGTCATATCTTGTCATCTTATTTAAAAAACAATTACTTTTGAAGTGACCTGTTTCAAATACAATAGATCTTAAAATCAAAGGAAAATTTTATGCTGAAATTAGCATGTGAAACAATATTAAAGTCCAGAGAGAAAGGACTTTCAAAACTTTGCTACATTTAAAGCTTTCGATCCTCTTAATTGCATCACTTTCTTCAGCAGTAAAATTAGTGAATATCACCTGTTGAGGATAACTTTTACTGAAACAAAAAAGATGGTCTCTAGCATTTGGTCCATAAGTAGTAAAATGCATGTCATAACCTTCTAGCTGAGGGGTTTTTGGCTGTCGTCCATAACTTTGTCAGCAAGGAGTCACTTGAGGCAAAAAATAAATCTTCAGATATGAGACGTCAAACAATTTGACCATGAATATTAATGTAACATTTGCTAGTATAAAGCTAAAAAATGACTGTATAATAGGCTATTAAGGCCTCAGTCCAGCAAGGAGCTCTGTGTGGGTGAACCCTTGCATCTGTACAAATGTCCTCACAGACCTAGGATAGATGCTATTTCAATATACTGAGATAGACCGTCTTTGTGAGTGCCTTTGGAACAGAGCAAGTAAATTATTAGTAAAATTGAAAAATTATCTATAAATAAATCACATTTTAAAAATATTGTTTACATTTAAAATATTTTGATGTCAGCTTTTTTCCTTATTCACCCTTAGCAAAGTATTAATACATTTAACATTTTATTACCTGGTGTCTCAAGGGGCCTTTTTTTAGGGCCTGTTTCAAAGCCCAGTAAGTTACTGGAAGTCTTTGAATTGTCTTGTGAGCTTTGGATCAGGCTCTAAGGCCCTGATTCAGCAAGACATTTGAGCACAGGAATAATCATATTGAAGTCAAAGCGAGGGCTCATATGGTAGGCAGGTGTTTAAGTACCTTCCTAAATTGGGTCCTGTGTGTTTCCTTTAGAAACCACATTTAAGGAAGTGAGATGTTAAATAAAGTATTAAATAAGGAAGAAATATTAAATAGGTTCAGGTAGATTTTCAAATACCTTTGTAAAATCATTGTTAAATTGATTATTCTGGTTTTGAATCAGTTTGAAAACTATAGAAATACCGCTTTACAGATATCATTTTTCCTAAGTGTTAATCCAAAAATGTGTTTTTTGCAAAGAATGCTGCTGACACTTGAGCTCTAGAAACAAGATAATCTCATTTTCTTCTTTCTTTCATGGGTTTTTAGATATTTAACATAGTCATTGTTTTAGAACCGTTAACTTGAAGATCCTGTCAGGCTTTCTAAAATATAATGTCCTTATTAGCTGTAACACCTAGTAGGACCCTAAAAGGAACTAAATTTGTGCAAGAGCACTCTCTTATTTGATGTCACCAGTAAAAAGAGTGACACTGGAACCAGGAAAATTCTTATTATTTAGTACAGGGGGTGGCCAACCTGAGCCGGAGAAGGAGCCAGAATTTACCAATGTACATTGCCAGAGAGCCACAGTAATACGTCAGCAGCCTCCCATCATCCCCAGCTCCCAGTGCCTCCTGCCCACCGGCAGGCCCCCTGATCAGCGCCTCCCCACACCACCTGATCAGCTGTTTTGTGGCATGCAGGAGGCGGGGGTGAGGGCATAGCAGGCTCAGGGGAGGGGGTGGGAAGGGGTGGAGTGGGGGCAGGGCCTGTGGCAGAGCCAGGGGTTGAGCAGTGAGCACCCCCCAGCACATTGGAAAGTTGGTGCTTGTAGCTCTAGCCCTGGAGTTGGTGCCTATACAAGGAGCCGCATGTGGTTTTGGAGCCACAGGTTGGCCACCTGATTTAGTAAATTGCAGAGTGTGTTAGAGGATGTGAACCTGTCTTGAAGAATGCATGGACTGCTGAAAGGACTGAATCTTCAGGATTTTATACACTGTGAACTTGATGGGCATAGCTATTGCACAGAATACTCTGCAGTAGCTATTCCAAAATAACTCCCAGTGTAGACAAGGTCTTAATCTTCCAAAGAATATGCATCTGTAAAAGAAAAAAATGTGAGCAGCGTTTTTGGACTTAGAGAAACTTGTGCCATGCAGCGTCCTCCACAAATGTCTGTTTTTGACAATTCCCTTTGTAAAAATTACATCATCCTTCTTCCTGTTATTTTTACTGTGATTTCCAACTTCTCAGTTGTCTGAATAACTAAAATCCCATTTTTGCACTTGGTTGATCTTCAACTACTTACATCACATACTTATTTTTATTCATTTCTAATTCAAGCTATTACAAAATCAATTATGCATGGTTGCATTGTACAATAAAACATTTCTAGATGTTGATTAGTGTCTACTAGTGTATCGTCTTGTTCTGTATTTGCTTGGTGTGTCTTTTCTAGACCTTCAAGGAAAGGAGTCTATCTTTTCTATTAATTTACATTTACCGTTTACATTATATTTACCACTTCTGAAATTCAGGCACCTCTTAGATTGATGGTGGCAAACATCCATTGCCCAGCACAATGTACAGCAGTGGCAGAAGGCAAGTATTGGTCAGAACTTTGTTGAACACAGAAAGCAGAAACATGCCATGGAGGATAATGAAGGTGGGTTTGGTCCCCGTGTGTGAAATGTATGTGGATACATGAGAGTGGGTGAATACGTATGAGAGGAGAAGTGGATGAATAGGTGCCTGGAGATGAGAGCTTGTGGTGAGTGAAAGGGTCTGTGGTGTTGGGGTGGGTGGATGTAGATACCCCTGGGGAGACACACGTATTGACCAGGAGCTGGTGTACGTGAATCAGACAGGATTTGGGGGCTATTCAGTCCCTTTACCCAGGTTCTTTGAGTGAGTCAATGTGCTGGAGCACACAGGGCACAGGTGGGGGGAGAAGCACCAGGATTTGCCTTTTGGGGGAAGAGGGAGGAGTGACTGGCTACGGGAGACAAAACTATATTGTGAAAGTTCCCCTCAGCACTAAAGTGAGTGTGGCCCAGTGGGGGCTGAGGGAGACCAGGTTTCTGTGCTAGGGCAGGAAAGGCACTTACCGTTGTTTTTGTCCTGCTCCAATTGGTTTAGAGCTGAGGACTGTAGAGATGTGTGGTAAAAGAGGGAGGGGTTCAGTACTGCTTATCTGGGTGGTGGTGGTGGGGGGAGAGGAGAAGCTGGGTTTTGAGGGGACCTGGGTGTGTGGTGGGGATTGAGAAACTGGACTGTGGGGGATCAGGGTGGATGTGAGGGGATGGACAGGCTGGGCTCTGAAGGGGTCGGTGGATGGGGATGGAGAGGTTGGGCTCTGAGGGGATTAAGGTGGATGTGGGGGCGATGGAGAGACTGGGCTGTGGGGATCATGGGGGATGGACAGGCTGGGCTCTGAGTGGATCAGGGTGGATGTGGAGGGAGGGTGGAGAGGCTGGGCTGTGGGGGATCTGAGCGTGGGGCAGATGGATGAGACTGGGCTGTGATGGGATCGGGGTGGATGTGGGTGGAGGAATCGGGGGGTTGAACAGGGTGGATGTGGGGGGTGTGTGGAGAGGCTGGGCTGTGGGAGGAGCAGGGTGGATGTGGGTGGAGAGGCTGGGCTGTGAAGGGCTCTGGCGGGGGGCTTTTCTCGCAGGGGCTCCTCCCCCTGGCGGCGGCGGGGGGCGGGGCTCGCTCGGGCGCAGCCGCGCGGGGCCTCGGGCTGGCTCTGTGCAGCCCGGGCGCGTTGGGACGGGAGGCGGCGACGGCGGCGGCTGCTTTGGGTCCGTGCGGTGAGGGGCGCCGGGGAGACGCGGTCTCCGAGGCGGAGACCCCCGGGCGAAGCCGCTGAGCGGGCTGGCGAGGAGCAGATGCCCCCCCCCCCTCCGGAACCATTTCTGTCTTCCGGCTTCCTCCTTTGCCCCTCAGGAGCCGCCTCCCCCACCCGCCGACCGCCCCTGGCTGGGGCTGCTGCGGGCGGGGCCCCGCCAGGCGCTGGGTGCGGCGCTGAGGTGGAAGTGGGCGACTCCCTCGGGGGGCGGGGATCTCACACGCGGGCTTGCAAGTCTGATCTGGGCGGGGAGAGAAATATTCGCAAGAAATAAAGACCCAGCTTTCCCCCCCACACACACCTTTTGGGGGGAACGTGAGACTGAGGTGCCTGGATCAGTGACTGTGTGACAGGGGAGGCGGGAGGGCTGTATAAGGGGAGCGGGGTCGCTTTAGCTCAGGGATAGTCGATTATTTTTTGTCAAGGTCCAGATTTCTCATCAAGGCAAAGTCAAGATCCGCACGCCTGAGAAAATAAAATAATAATGATAATAAGTAGACAAAAAGATTTTGAGGTCTGTTCAAAAGCATATGGTGGTGTGTATTAGGCCTGCTGTCTGGCTGTGAACTACCACTGCTTTAGCTGGAGGGAGTGAGACGTTCCTGCCCCACAGAGGGGCCTTGAGCACAAAGCATTACATATCAGGGGTATGAAGCAGTTAAAAAAAATGTATGGTGATTAATGGCATGGTTAAAAGAATTAATCGCACTGTTAAACAATAATAGAATACCATTTAATTAAATATTTTGGATGTTTTCTACATTTTCAAATATATTAGTTTCAAATACAACACGGAATACAAAGTGTACAGTGCTCACTTTATATTTATTTTTGATTACAAAATATTTGCACTGTAAAAAACAAAAGAAACAGTATATTTCAATTCACTTATAGAAAGTACTGTAGTGCAATCCATTTATAATGACAGTTGAACGTACAAATGTAGAATTATGTACAAAATGTAACTGCATTCAAAAATAAAACCATGTAAAACTTTAGAACCTACAAGTCCAGTCAGTCCTACTTCAGCCAATCACTCAGACAAACAAGTTTGATTACAATTTGCAGGAGATAATGTTGCCCGCAGGAGATAATGTTGCCCGCTTCTTGTTTACAGTGTCAACTGAAAGTGAGAACAGGCATTCGCAGGGTACTGTTGTGGCCAGCGTTGCAAGATATTTGTACCAGATGTGCTAAAGATTCATATGTCCCTTCATGCTTCAACTACCATTCCAGAGGACATGCGTCCATGCTGATGACGGGTTCTGCTCGATAACAGTCCAAAGCAGAGTGGACTGACGCATGTTCATTTTCATCATCTGAGCCGGTTCCACCAGCAGAAGGTTGATTTTCTTTTTTGGTGATTTGGGTTCTGTAGTTTCCGCATCGGAGTGTTGATCTTTTAAGACACTTGAAAGTATTCTTCACACCTTGTCCCTCTCAGATTTTGGAAGGCACTTCAGATTTTTAAACCTTGGGTCAAGTGCTGTATCTATCCTTAGAAATCTCACATTAGTACCTTTTTTGTGTTTTGTCAAATCTGCTGTGAAAGTGTTCTTAAAACGAACATGTGCTGGGTCATCATCTGAGACTGCTATAACATGAAATATATAGCAGAATGTGGATAAAACAGAACAGGAAACAGACAATTCTCCCCCAAGGAGTTCAGTCATAAATTTAATTAATGCATTATTTTTTTTAATGAATGTCATCAGCATGGAAGCATGTCCTCTGGAATGGTGGCCGATGCATGAAGGGACGTATGAATGTTTAGCATATTTGGTACCTAAATACCTTGCAACGCCGGTATCATAAATATAAAGAGAAGGGTAAACACCTTTAAAATCTCTCCTGGCCAGAGGAAAAACCCTTTCAACTGTAAAAGGTTAAGAAGCTAGGATAACCTCGCTGGCACCTGACCAAAAGGACCAATGAGGAGACAAGATACTTTCAAAAGCTGGGGGGGGGGAAACAAAGGCTCTCTCTGTGAGATGCTTTTGTTGGGGACAGAACAGGAATGGAGTCTTAGAACTTAGTAAGTAATCTAGCTAGATATGCGTTAGATTCTGATTCCTTTAAATGGCTGAGAAAATAAGCTGTGCTGAATGGGATATAGATTCCTGTTTTTGTGTCTTTTTGTAACTTAAGGTTTTGCCTAGAGGGATTCTCTATGTTGTGAATCTGATTACCCTGTAAGGTATTTACCATCCTGATTTTACAGAGGTGATTGTTTTTACTTTTTCTTCTATTAAAATTCTTCTTTTAAGAATCTGAATGCTTTTTCATTGTTCTTAAGCTCCAAGGGTTTGGGTCCATGTTCCCCTATGCAAATTGGTGAGGATGTTTATCAAACCTTCCCCAGGAAAGGGGGTGTAAGGTTTGGGAGGATTTTGGGGGGAAAGACGTTTCCAAACGGGCTCTTTCCCAATTATGTACCTGTTAGACATTTAGTAGTGGTAGCGATAAAGTCCAAGGGCAAAAGGTAAAATAGTTTGTACCTTGGGGAAGTTTTAACCTAAGCTGGTAAAAGTAAGCTTAGGAGGTTTTCATGCAGGTCCCCACATCTGTACCCTAGAGTTCAGAGTGGGGAAGGAATCTTGACAGCCGGCTACAAAAGTGCCACACGAATGCCTGATCTCACTTACAGGTAACTTTGTAAATAAGAAGTAGTCAGCAGTATCTCCTGTAAATGTAACCAAACTTGTTTGTCTTAGCAATTGGCTGAACAAGAAGTAGACTGAGTGGACTTGTAGACTCTAAAGTTTTACATTGTTTTGTTTTTGAGTGCAGTTATGTAACAAAACAAAAATCTGCATTTGTGAGTTACACTTTCACAAGAGATTGCACTACAGTACTTGTATGAGGTGAATTGAAAAATACTATTTATCTATCATTTTTACAGTGCAAATATTTGTAATAAAAATAATAATGTAAAGTGAGCACTGTACACTTAGTATTCTGTGTTGTAATAGAAATCAATATATTTGAAAATGTAGAAAAACATCCAAAAATATTTAATAAATTTCAATTGGTAGTCTATCATTTAACAGTGTAATTAAGATTAATTTTTTTAATCGCAGTTAATTTTTTTGAGTTAATTGCATGAGTTAACTGCAATTAATCGACAGCCCTAGTAAATATAAATCCTGATTTAGGAACCCCCACAACATCCACAGTTGCAGTCTATAAGCTGATCAGGTTTTTGGCACCAGACCCACACATCGAGAAGCCTCATTACTTGATCTGTCTGATTTTTCTTACCCGTGTCAACTTGGGCACCTGAAAGCCAAAAGACAAGTTGAGAATTTCAGATTTGTCCCAAAGTTTTCTCTCGTGTTTTAAGATGATTTTTTGGGGTCTCTTATCATGGGATAGGGCTGCCAACCCACCAGGATTGTCCTGGAGTCTCCAGACATTAAAGATTATGTCACATTCAACCAAAACTGGCAACCCTATCATGGGAAGTTTTAAAAAAAAATTCATACACAATATACTTTTAAAAAAAACCCATAAAACATTTTACAATATAGAAATTGAGTCATAGCACAGAAAGTTTGATCTTCAAACTTTTAAGATTCCTATAGCAGTATAATTTGGCCATGTTGCACATAGTGTCTATTTGTTTTATTGTAAAACATATTTTCAACAGGAAGTATAACAGAAGATATAAAATTAACAGCCAAAACAGAAATAGGAAGTTCTACATGTGTGAGAGATTGCTGTGGCAACCTTAACTTTTGAATCCTCAACCTTAATGTGCATGAACATATGTTTTTGAATTTAATTTCCCTTTATTTAAAAAAAGGTAATTTTCAAGGGATTTAATATATGCATTTTATTAGTATTACACTTCTGTTTCTTGCAGAACCTGTAAGTGTTGATCTTATGGGATATGCACTTGAAGCTCAAACAAACCTCTTTTGAAATCAGTGGGCGTTTGAAGTCAGCTTGATTTTTTTTTTTGAAGGAATTTTTAAAAGTATAGATCACCGTAACACATTTATGCATAGAAGAACCCCAAATGGTGGCTTGAAAATAATTTCTTGTGGGCTAAAATACCTCCACAGCCAGATGCTGCTCATGTAATTTAGTACAGCCATGCACTCTAACACATTTTACTATATGTGTATGTTATTTTCTTGAACAGAAAGCATTAAGAAAGATTTTTAGTGTCATTTTAGCATACACATACTTTTAACGATATTTAATAACTTTTCTTCAAAATAAGTAATTTTAAACATTCATTTTAACTATTGTACAAAGGCGCACATAAGAACTCTAATGCTTTGAGTCACTAAATGCATGTCATATATTTACAGGGGCACTATCAATATTTTAAATATATAATTGTACTACTTTATGCAAACTACGCTATAAACCAAGTCTACAAAGTGTAGCTAAAAATTAAAGTAATTCAGAAAATGAATATGTATGGGCTTGAGAGGTTTTTGTTTTATTTTGTTTTTTTCATATTTCCAGTAGGAATCACTGGAATTTTACTCTTTAAAAAAATCATGGGAAGAGGTGGTTAACAAATATAGTATATTTGTTACAGTAGAGAGAAAGCCTCTGATTATGGCACCATCTGGAAGAAAGCATGCAGGGAAAGCTGGTAAACCAATACAGGAAGATCAAGCCTTATGTGCCTATGACTTTCAGGAAGAGGAAAAGAAAAACTTGAGTGGATCAGAGGAAGATATTAGGGAAGGTGCAGTATGTTCCCTGAAATCATTTTCATCAAGTTTTATGAAGTGTGTGCATGTATATCTATAGATATATTGAGATATATATTTAAAATTACTGAAAGGTTAGTGATACAGTATAATGCTGTTTCTTGTTGACATTTATGATGGTGAATAAAAACAAGGTAGTTTCTATGTCAGAGTGATTACCTATTTAATAAGGTTTCATAATTTTGCTACTAATAGCTTGACTTCTGAGTTAAAGATTGACTGACCATCACCTGGAGAGAACTTTTTAAAACAATGGAACAACTCCATGTAGTATGCAATTATATGTCTGAGGTTTATTGGTGCCTGTAATAGAGTAAGATTTTTTAAACTCTCTCTTGTCCTTCAGTCTCCAAGATGGTGCTCTTGTTTTGTGGTTCACAATAGGCCATTGATGACATGGAAGCATTGCTCAGGCAAGAGCAGCATGCTCTTGTCCTCTGGTTAAGCATGACATTGTTCTCCATCTGCTCTGTCTGAGCCACATGGACAAAGAGGTGTAAGGAATGATGCACAGATCAGCTACCTGTTTACCAGGTGCCGATTGATGTACCTAGCTGTGCAAGGAAAGTGTTCTGATGTCAAAGGGTGGGATTTGGATTGTGGTGCTGGCAGTGGGAAGAAGGGAGGGGCAGAGAGTGAAAAACAGTAAGAAAAATGGGCAGAAGTCTTGAGGAAGAAGGGTGAGAGGGCAAGAGGGGAGCCTGAAGAAAAGATAGATAACAAGGGAGGAAAGGGGAAAGAGAAGGAAGGAGAGATCAGCCAGCCAGTAAAGGAGTTCTTGCTTCTGTCTTGGGAAAGTGTAGTTTGTCATGAGGGACATACTTTGTTAGAAAAATACAGTGGTGGGACTTAATTTAGAATTGACCAACCAAATGATGGCAGCCCTTCAGAGTGAAATGAAAGGCTTTTGCACAGAGTTAGTTTGCACAAACAGCAGATGATGTAGTTCTCTAGTCACTGGGTGGCATGCCACAAATGCTGCAATCCTCTCATGGTTTATATGCATAATTACCATTTAGCTATGGTCCCTCGCACATTTATATATCAAAACAATTATTTTGTGTAAATATATTTTTACAGAATTTTCATCAGATGCCAACAAAACTGATTTCAAAAGAGAAGTTTTGTACAGATACTGGAAATGCTCCTCTTACACAGTTGTGGTTCTACTTCTGTCTAATGTCATGTCAGAAAATGAATTGACGATAACTATATTGTAAGAAGTACTTACTCTCCTTCAGCTAGCTTTGTTAGCAGGTTAGTTGATGTCCAAAAGAGCTAACAGCAGAGTAATCTTTAAAGGTATCACACCAGGATTCCCATACTTTGATCTCAGCTTCCTACTGTGGGAGAGCTTGAAGCTCCATCGTTCAGTGATTTTCAACCTTTTTTAATTTGCAAACCCGTAAAATATTTGGAATGGAGTTGTGGACCCCTTTGGAAATTCAACCTGCGGTCCACGGACCCCTATCATAGAAGTCTTAGACTGACAGCTGACTTAAAGAATTCAACTGTAAATGTTGTGCGTGCTTGGCATAGCATTTGACACAGTAGGAGGAAGGGTGCTAAACAGTGGGCTTCTATGGTAATGACAGTGCTTCCAGATTTTCACCTGAGGTGGGGGTATTCACATACTTTTGATTTATCAGAAAAACAGAATGCCTTTTCTGGGATCAGAAACTTAATTTTTGTAATCACCTTTCGTGGACCCCTTAGACATAGTATAGGGTCCCCCAAGGAATCTGTGAACCACAGGTTGAAAACCATTGCCCAAGATTTTTTTATTTTATTTTTATTTTTTTTGCCCTGAGCGTCACTGGCACTTAGGCATGAGTCCCTTCCCAATGTTTCATTCCCTCACCATGCCTCAGTTCCCTCCAGTATCATTCAGTTACTTTCTGAATACGGTCAACAAAGATTTTCTCTCCAGGAACTCTAAGCTGATTTTGTCACCTATTTTGGATGCAGTCTTTCGACAGGCACATTCTGTCCTTTATTGGTTTTTCCCTCTTCCATTGTGTCAATTAAATCTTTTAAAGTATTTGCCTGAGATAGTAAAATCTGAGGCTGCTGTCTCATACTCAGGATGTTGGGTTGCCTATGAAGGCTTTGTTTGGCTGATAACTCGGAAGACTTTGTCACATCACTCCATGGTGGACTAAACCTAAAGAAGGCATGATCACATCTGGTTTATTTTGAATACAGCACAGATCATGCTTTTAAAGAAGTGACCCTTTGTTGTTACACTTCTCAAACAATCAGAGTTCTTCTGCATATATGTACTTGAGGTGCTGCAGCTAGTGCTTGGTTTTGGCATCAAGAGAAGAGTCTCCTTTTTGTGTTTTGTGAGTCTATGTTAACAATATTTCTGAGAGGGATGCTCAAGCTCTCCCACTCCTTAGAGTTTGTTGTTCTTTGGAATGTGTAGTGATGCTTTGGACTTTGGCTCATGTTGTTTTTTAAGAAATGTGAAAACATTCATAAAAACATTTTTGGCAATATATATTTCTGGTTCCAGTGTGAGATAGCCCTCAGGTTTCTTGCTATCCAGTAGTGGAAATCCTGTGTGTTTGGAATCTTTTTAAAGAAGGGATAGTTACTGTGAAATTTGATAGTTGAAGTATTACCATTCACTCACCTCTTTTCCCCTCCAAATTTAGGTTTCCAATTTAAGGTGATTTGTTATTTTTAAGGTTTAGATTATTTCCATTTTTGAGATGATTGTCATGAGTTTTGGAAAATGTTCAGGTTTGTGAGCCATTGTTGCCTGAGCATTCAGGAACTGACTGAGGAGGTTATGGGGGAGCTAAGGCAGTGCCAGTTCAACACTGGGGAAGGATTTGTGTCCAAGATTCCAGTGCATAAGATAGCCAAAGTTCTAAGAGCTAGAGGAGTTCCAACTTGTTTCATGCTAGAGAGCTAAGACCCAAGACTGGAAATCCTATATGATGAGATCTTGTAAGAAAGTAGGATTATGCATAAGTAATTATCCCTTTAAATAAAATAATTTTCAGCAAAATATTTTGTAAGTGGTGTCTGTTTTTGTTGTTTTTAATATATAAAGGTGACACTCCAGTAATTGATAAACATGGAAAAAAAAGACCTTCAGTGACTCCTCATGCTGTAGTTGAAGAAGATGTGGGGTAATTTGCTTAAAAAACTTATTTTTATTAAGAAAAAATTTCCACATAGGTATTAATTACTGAAATTTAATATGCCTATTTTTCTCCTAGTAGATTCTAGTCAGATTTTTTTAAAGACAGTAAAATCTATTAGTAATATATTAGTAAAGTAGACTACAGTTATGTTTAAAAAAGGGAAAACTTCTATGTTTTATATAGCAATGCCAACTTTTGAATAGCTGTAACTATCAGCTAAAAAAATTATTAATATTTGTTTTCTGGCTTCTCAAAATTCTTGCTTTCTCCCAAAGGTAGTTTGAGTTCCACCCTAGACAGTTTTATCATTTTGCTGAACCTCTTCCCCAATTCTTACTTTTCTTGAGAATGACAGTAATGCTTCAAAAATTAAATGTGTCCATTATTACCTGAAAAGATCCAATTATTTTTATAAGTAAAGTCAGCTTTTTGAGGCTTATGTTTGAAAATATACAGAGTTGGAATAAGTGTTAGTGACAGTAGATTCCAGTCTGTGAAGACTGGGGTGATTGAGATAGAGACCAGTTCTTATATGGTACAAAGAAAATTGTACCCTACAAAAAAAAATGCATGTAAACGAGAGATCTTCCTTTCCTGTTGCCCAGAATGTCTTGCCCTTATTTAATCTCTCTGCAATTTCCCCACTGCCACACATATCCGGTTAATCTTCTTGGTTTTTCCTTAAAAGTGCTGTGCAAATCCATCCCAGTCTACATCTTGCACCTTGTCTTGTATCATCATCCTCTGCTCTTCCAGTGATGCCAACCATGATGGCACATTTATCTCTTCCCATGTCCCTCATCATCCTTATATATAGAATTCTCCTCCCAATTTTGGTTTACCAGTTCACTCTCTTTTCCTCAAACAGATTCCCCTTACAGACTGAATTCTCCCTTGTTGTCCCCAGGTAGTTAGTTAATAGAAAACTATAACTGAAAAATCATGCAAGTCTCTCTCTGGACTTCCTGCTCCATCCTATCATGTGTGCATATTTCTCTTAGCTTGTAAATTCCTCAGGACATGTACTGCTGTCATTTTCTGTCTTGTACAACAGTGACAATTTTATCAGCAGTTACAAATAATAATACGATAGATAGATGTTAAAACTAGGCAGTTAAACTTCGAGGTATATACAATGGTTCTAATTCTATTGTCATTTATACAAAAATAGTCATATCAAGTTTTTGAAACACAATATTTTGTAGGGGTGAAGTACAGACTATGTTGGAACGATTTGGAGGTACGTATATTTTAAGATATTATTCATATAGTATTGAATTAAGAAATATTAATGTTTAAGTAACAACACTGGAAGTATATAGTCTAACTCTTTTTTATAATAACAACTTTAATTAAAGTATCAAAGGTTTAATGTGAGACGCAGAGTAAAATGATCACTCTTTATAGCATTGGATACAGCCATTTTCCAGCAGAAAGTGTCAATGGACATGCATAAATGGAACAATATAAGATAAGTGCTAAAATGCAAACATAGTGAAGATGCAAGTATTCTTATAGGCTAATTATCAAAGAAGAGAGAATGGAAGGATACATGAGTAGAATTTAATACCAATCACAGTCTAAAGCAGAAAGGAAAATTTTAAAGATGAAGTATGACAGGAACTTATGTAGTTATTTGGGTGAGAGTCTTCCAGAGTGGCAGGGCAGTATGAGTGAAAAAAGCTATCCCTCTCACCTTCCCCTTTTTGTCACAGTGAAGGAGCAAACTGAAGATCAGGAATGTAGGAGGGGTGTGAGAAAACAGGGACATAAATGTATTCTATAAATTAACATATTATGTAACAAGGGGCAAAAAGAAGTGGGAAGGAAGAGGACAGGAAAGACAGGTCATGACAATAAGATAACTCATCTACTCAACAATTGGTTGAGTAATAATTTTATTTTTATCTCATATATAAACAGATGTCTTATAGAATAAATATATTTTGTATGTGGGCCTCAAAGTAGGAGTGGATCTTATGGACCTCCCTTGTGCATTAATTAACAATTTAAAAATGCCAAAGATTTCTTGCTTTGGAGGTAAATATAAGAATGTTCTGCTAGTCAGAGCAATCTGACAGGAAGATTACTTCAGTTTTTGAATAATTAAATAATAGGAAGTTAATGCAGCCTAATGTAGGCCAAAGATAGGTAAAAGGATGAGATATGGAGTAATCAGAAAATGTGTTGAGAGAAAGAGATAATGCCATCTGCACAGAAATAATAGTTAAGAATGGAGCTAGCAATGAGACATCAGCTGAGACAAAATAGAGGGACAATAAGAGATCAGTTGATATAGTCTTGAAGTAATATATAACAGAAGGATCAAAGTGGTTGTTACAGGCATGAAATTGGGTATACCTGTAATTTGCTTAATACCCTTCCAAACAAATTTATATATGTAATAATAAAACAGCGATGTTTACTCAAACCATCCTTTTTTAGAGCTATTTAATGTGCTTGAAGAATGAGAAATTATTTACCACTTATATTCATTTAAAAGATTTTGACAGAGTTGGTAGGCCCACAATTTTGCTACTTAAATCCAAGTAACTTTAATAAATATTTTTCCAAAACAATTTTAGTCAGTGCTTTTTGAATAAATAACATTTTAAGTGTCAGCAGCCCAAGTCATATGAGTAATTTTTCAATGATAAAACTTTGTGTGTGCTTCACTAACGCACAAGTTATATAAAAATGGTAATAGTAAAATATTTTGAAATTCCGAATAAAATGCATAGTAGGTCTGTTGTAATACATAATACAATTCCTGATTATTATTTGTCTAAATACAGCTGACATTAACAAGGCTCTCTTGGCTAAGAGGAAAAGATTAGAAATGTATACTAAGGCTTCTCTTAAAACCAGTAACCAGAAAATTGAACATGTTTGGAAAACACAGCAAGAACAGAGGTAAGAGTTACAGTTATTGCTGGAAAAAATGTGTTCAAATTTGTTTTTCTGGATGACAGAATCTGTTGTCATAGCATCAGGAATTGTGTCATATCTACTCAGGCCACAAGGGACATTCTGCCCAAACATCTGGTTATGTGCATCTGCTTTGTTTAAATAAGCGTAATAGAGTAACACATCTCATTCATTTTATGAAAGAGAAATTTGACATGAAAGTTTCTGAGCAAACACAAAATTTTTATTTTTGGTCAAAATGTTGTTCCACTTTAAAACTGAAAAATTTTCAGTAGAATTTTCAGTAAGATTTTATGGTTTGGTTTATAAAAAAGTCAAATGCTTTTTAAAAACTAAAAAGTATTACTCATAAGTTTTATTATGTACTGAAAACTAATCTTAGGTAACTTTTGGATTTTTTAAACTATTAATTCATTATTTTTCTTTCTCTCTGAGGCATGTTTAATTACTCAGAGAGACAGGCATTAAAGGCAAAGGGAGGTGAAAAACAGTACTAGTAAAATATTTAAAATTCAGACACCTATAAAATATGTACCATATTCAAAATATTTAACAATATGATACGAAGGTTTTATTGGTACTCATTTGGAAGGACTAGTATAACTCACTCCTGGGGCTGGTCTACACTACTATTTAAGTCAATGTAACTTACGTCGCTCAGGGGTGTGAAAAAGATGTAAGTTACATCGACTTAAGTGCTGTACACACCGCGCGCGATGTTGGCAGGAGACACTCTCCCCCCCGACATAGCTTCCACCTCTTTTTGAAGTGGAGAAATTATGCCGATAGGAAAGCACTCTCCTGTCAGCATAGCGCATCTTCACCAGACGTGCCACAGAGGTACAGCTGCATCGATGCAGTTGCGCCGAAGTAACGTGGTAGTGTAGACTTGGCCCTGGTTTATCATCCCTGAGTAATGTAAGCATTTTAAACCTGCATTGATAAAATATTTTACATGCGCACACAATGTATTAATTTCTAATTTATTTAAATTCCTGTGAATCAGTATAAACCTACCTTCTTGTTTTTATGCCAAAGATTCCACTGTGGGAGTGGCCAATGTAATTAAGACCCTATGTGGAATAGCAGGGCAGCTTTCCTAGTGCCCATCCTCCCCTTCTCCATGTGTGGGGGTGGTTCCTGCGGACCCAATACTCCTACCCCCTTAACAATAGACAGGACGGGAAGGAGAGGTCCCGGTTTTTGTGGGGAGATGGAGAGAGAGAGAGAGGTCCCAGTTTCTGTGGGGGCGGAGAGGGAGACAGAATGATCTCGGTAATTGGAACATGCACAGAAGTACATCTAAAATGCATGGCAAGTATTCAAGGCTCTACGCCAGCCCCCTTACCTGTATTTGGCTTTGCACCTCTGGTACTTGTCGCTGGTCCAAGCAACCTCCCTAATTTTTTTCATAAACATCCCTAAAAAACTCAGAACAAGTTGGATATTTCTGATAGTGTTTGCTCTGATTTGGATATTGGCCTGGTAGTTGTATTTAAATGCTCTCTGCCCAATATATAATTTTAAATGACATTAGTTTACCCATAAACAAATGTCTATGTTCTCAATTTTTCAAATTGATGCATAGAATCCTTTTAGGGTTATATTTCACCATTTTAATGAGCAAAAGTAGCTTAGGTCTTTATTTTGTGCCATTCCCTACATATTGGTAGAAAAATTCTGCAAGCCCCAGGTCTTCAACTTCAAGAAAATAGAACTTCCTCTTCCCACTTCCAAACCCTCCACCCAGAGAAACTGACATTTGGTCAATTCGTCTTTTAATCCTATGTAAACACTATTATTTATAAACAGAATGTTTTAAAGTATTTCTTCTGGCATTAGTGGCTCTACAATTATAATGGCCATGCCAACTGAGACATGTTTTGCCACCTGTAAAATGGGGATGATAATATATAGCACTTTTCGTAAGTGATCAGTTAACGCTAGAAGTTATTGTGATGTATTTATAGGCAGAAGCTCAACCAGGAGTATTCCCAGCAGTTCTTGACTTTATTTCAACAATGGGATATGGACATGCAGAAAGCAGAGGAACAGGAGGAAAAACTAGCGGTTTGTTTCTAGCCTGGCAACTGTTTGATACATTTGTTTTATAATACATTCACAAGTGCTAATTATTCTTGTTAGACACCAACCTCCCACAGGCATAAACACACTTTTTAGGTGAATTTCAGACAAAACGTGGTGTGCGGGACTGACAGTGTCTTAAAAGTTTTCTTTCGTTTTTTAGGACTTCCCAAGTGTAAAATGTTTATAAATTATCAGCTGTATTGCAAACTGCAGAGGTGATAAAGAATATCTGATGTTGTAGTGTCTCTCCCTTGGCTTATCAATATAGAGGTAAATGCTCCTCATGTGCAGGAGCCATATGCTGACCCACTGCAGAGATGCAAGGTTCCCATGGAAGATCAGAGCAGATCCTACATGTCCTGCTATATATGGGCAAGTTTCCACCCAAATCACTAGAGACTGTGGGGTAGGGTAAGAGAGACTGGGACATTATACTTGGGATGGAAGTAGAGAAGCGATGCCAAGTCTGTGTAGGGTAGGATGACATTGGGGAATTATAGCATTTACACATGATCCTGTTAGCTGGGAACAGAGAGCAAGAGCAGTTACCCTAATAATGGGGGAAGGAAGCTATATAATGGCAGAGGGGTACAATTACTCTGGGAGCACATTGCACCAGTTTAGATTACTTGGAAGAAATTGTGTTCCTCTTCAGTTTGCAAGTTGTGCTGTCCCCTGACAGCAACATAGGTCTAGAGAATAGATTTGGACAGTATTTCCCCTTTCCTTGCCATCCCCACTATCTATCAAAGATCCATGTTATAGATTCTAGAACGTGGATTACCAGTGAAGGGGGAACTTATACTTTTGAATTTTGACAGCATCGACCTGTCTAACTACTGCTTGTCAATTAACATGATTCTTCTTTGTGTTTTAGAATATGTTTCGCCAGCAACAGAAGGTTTTTCAACAAGCAAGAATAGTTCAGAGTCAGAGACTGAAAACAATTAAACAGCTGTATGAGCAGTTCTTAAAGGTTCAGTATATATACCTTTTTTAAAGCTAGACCATGATTCTGTTAGAGGGATTCTTAATGACTCCATAGGTAAGGCTGCATTGAAATTTACAGTTAAAATAGGATTAAAATTCCCTATATTTTACAATAATTATTGAATTAAAATCCATTTAAGGATGATACTGGTAAGAGAGCCTTACACATGGTTCCTTTAATTAACCAAGAATGTTTGTGAAGTGGTATTTTGGAGCCTGCAAGGACAGTTCCATTTTCCATGAAGGTCTTGTCTAAACACCCAAGTTGTACTCCCATAACTAAAATCTGTTTTAAAAAGTGATGTAATTAAGCCAGTCAAACTCCTGTGGGGGCACACACACATCTGATTAAAACTGTTTATATCTGTTTACCTTGCATTTGTACATTTACCAGGGTAAACTAATCAGACTGAAATCAAATTAAGAGTAACCAGAACTTTAGTTCACAATGTGTCTGTGTGAAGACTAGGCCTTAGATTAATGTTATGAAAACTACTTCTTTGAAATAAAATAGTGAAATATTTCACACTATTTGAAAATAAAGCATAAGCCAAAATTTAGCATTTGTTATGCTTGTGTTATATGTAGCAGTCTCACTAAAAGTGAATGGCTACCATAGAATAGTGACCCATTGTCAGTAATCTTTTTACAAATAGCTATTTGTAGAAAGATAAATGCGCATATTAAGTAAATTAAAATATAATTTAAATAGTTTTTATGACAAGAAGTTATGCTTCATTGGGTGAGTTTTCCAAACACAGGACAATAGGTATTACGTTTAATAAACCGATATTAAAACTGAATATGCACTCTGATGCCAGCAACAAAAGTCAGTCCAAAATAGGGGTCTTCTGTGAAAGTGGGCCCAACTGGGGCAGTTAATATTCACTTCAGTTTAACTGACTTTCTGGGGTTTTGTTGGTTCACTATGTATTTTGGTATTATATTGAAAGTGAGGTACACATTTTATAAACATACCCTTAACATAAATGGTTAATAAATGATTAACAGAAGTTAAATACATTACAGACATAAGTAATATGTATAATAATAGATTATGGACTCTTAACAATAGTTTATCTAAGTTATTAAAACATCACTTGTTAACCCTTCATATACAATTTATAGATGTACTCTTACTGTAAAGTGGTCACTACTTATTTTAAAATAAGATAGATCTGCTAACTTTTGAATGAAGAAGAGTCTATTTTGTATCTTTACCTTCTCCCCCATCTCAGAAGCTACATGAATATAGGTGAGATGAATAATATAAATAGTATCTCTCTAGTTTAAACCAAGTATGTGGTTTTTAAATCAAAGCTGGTTTAAGACCCCAAAATAGGTCCATCTATTTCCAAGATACTACTGTTCTACATTTCCCTGAGCTCTGGTACCGAAAACAGTTTAACTGCTACCATAGACAGAATTAAAAAAACAGTTTTCAGCAGTACTTGAGTCTTTGTTCTTGCATTTTCTGTGGTCAGCAATAGGTTAGTTTCATAGTTAGCTGGACCTGAAGAATCTGGTTATGTTAAAAAGTTACTATATAATGTATTAGTTTGAAATTAGTGTAAAAGTTAATAACCATTCTGAAAAAATTGGACATAGCTACCAAAAAAGAGAGAGAAAAAATGAAATTTAATTTGGAGTAGACCTACTCAAAGAAATAAACCAAGTTTAATTAAACTTTTTAAATTTGAAAGGTGTGGTTTTTTTGTGGGGGGTTTGTTTCATTTTTTGTTTGTTTGTAGAAAAACAAATTTCATAATGTTTTCCCCCTCTGAGTGCAGTAAAATGAATGATGTCCAGAATTCTCACCCCCCATCCCCTTTGACTTAAGTGTTAGAGTAGAAAAGGGAGTGAGGGAAAAATCCAGAAATGTTTTTTTAAAAACTAAACTGAAGTGGAAATTTGTTTTGTTAAATGACATTTTTCCCACAAAACCTCATTTTTTGGCAGGAAAACTTTTCTGTCAGTTTCAACCAAGTCTAGTTTAGAGTAGGTTTCAAATCTCAGTTAGTATGAAAACAAAACAGGTGCTCTCATACCCTATTGCTAAAACAGAAACCAAAACTAAACCTAGTTATCTATCATCTTAATATTAGACAAACACATCTGAAATAAAAGCCTATTTAACCATATCTTAGTACTTTCAAACTTTCAGTTAATGTGTCATATAAAAGCAATATTAAAATTAGAAAGACAAATTACAGCTACTACTTAAGATGCAAAGTGAATGGAATAAAAGATGACTTTAGTGCTTGAACTTCCAAATAAAATCAAAACTCAAATCCTGCACACATTTACACACAAGCTTAACTTCATGCTTTTGAGTGGCCCCACTTATCTTGATGGGACAAGTGATATTTAAAGTTATGGACAATCTTAAGCATTTGCAGAATTACAGGTTCCAAATCGTATGTGAAAGGGGTGCAGTGCAGGGCATTTAAATTATGAATACAGGAGGGGGAAAAGAGGAATATATCTCAGGCCTGATTATCAGAGGCACTTTACACCTGTAGCTCTCATTGGCTTCTGTTAGAATTGTTAGTGTTCAGCATGTAGTTGTTTTCTTAAAACACTACTGCTACAAGATACCCTTTTCAGCTGTTACTCAGTTTTATGCTCTACTCTCAGTAAGTCAACTTTATGCAATACCCTTGTAACCCACTACCAGACAGGTAAGATACTTTGCATGGTGTTGGCAGTCTAATCAATATTCAGTATATTGTTGTAAACTGGAAAAGTATTTCCAGTATTGCTGCATGTTTTCCAGTTGTGGGATAACTCTGGAACATGAAATTAAGATCCCTTTTCTAACTTGCTAATTATGATACAGTAGAACCTCAGAGTTACAAACACGTCAGGAATGGAGATTGTAACTCTGAAATGTTCGTAAAAACAAAACGTTATGGCTGTTCTTTCAAAAGTTTATAACTGAACATTGACTTAATACAGCTTTGAAAGTTTACTATGTAGAAGAAAATACTGCTTTTAACCATCTTAATTTAAGTGAAACAAGCACAGAAGCAGTTTCCTTACCTTGTCAAAAATATTTTAAACTTTCCCTTTATTTTTTTAGTAGTTTACATTTAACACAGTACGGTACTGTATTTGCCTTTTGTGTGTGTCTGCTGCCTGATTGCATACTTTGGGCTCTAAATGAGGTGTGTGGCTGATGGGTCAGTTTGGAACTCTGTAGTGACTGTGGTGTATGGTGCTCAGCGAGTTTTGTTTACTTCTGGTTTGTGAACAGGATTTGTTTGGAAATCTAGGTGGTGGTGGGGCTTAGTATAAAACTGCTAATATTTGTCAGTTTTAGTATAATTTCTATCATTTAGAGTATGGAAGAACTAGAGAAAAATCATGAAAACCTTCTAGCAGGTGCACAAAATGAACTTCGCAAAGAAATGGCTATGTTGCAAAAGAAAATCATGATGGACACTGTAAGTATTAGCATTGATTTATGGGGAAAAACAGTTAAAAATGTAAAGACAGAACATTAAGTAGAAAAACCATTTAACATGCACTTTTAATTCTTTCAATATATCAGACTGATGTGGTATTTTTTTCCTAAATGTTGCATTTGTTCAGTGTTATCTCCTTTCTTGTAACAGCAACAGCAAGAGATGGCAACTGTTCGCAAATCTCTTCAGTCCATGTTATTCTGATGGCTCAGTGAAGAAACAACTTGCACCTAAGTAACATGATACAATTATAGCCATTAGCCATGGAAAAATAAGTCTGTTCCTTTAAAATTCCAATTTAAGAGTTCCTATTAATCAAACTGTTACATGTATTATTTCAATAATGTTACTAGTGAAATTGATAGTCATATTTTTTCATGTTCTTAATGGAAGAGATTGCAAACTGGATTCGTTCCTCAGAAACTACTACTACGTCTTTAAAATGTCTGCTCGAATCCTCCTTAATCTCTTTGCAGTGAGAGTTGCTTTTCTAACTCTAAGGCAGTGTTATAAAATGCAAGACTATAGCAGTATGGAGGTTAATAGAGGTTTACCTCTTGAAACAGGTGAATATGAATCTGTGTACGATAGGCAGCAGTAATGCAAAATGGATCACAAAATTCCACCAATAATGAACATCACAGGATTAAAAGGACACATTAAAAACTTGATGCTGTTATGCAAAAATGTACCTTTGCAACTTTATAATTGTGAACTAAAGAAACCACCAAAATAATCCTAGGTTGTGTGTGTACATCTTGCATATTTAGCAGGATAACATTCTGGAAAGTTTAGGAATTAAAAGTATGGTACACACGAATTACATTTCTTTGGTACTTTAGGTTATTAGACTACATCTTGTTGTTTACTCTTTTTCTGTTCTAGGCACTGTAATGGTTGAGGGTTTTTTTAAAGTATCATTAGTAGCCTTATTATAAGCTGTACATTGTACTTTACTGCACTAACAAGAACATATGTTTGCCAAGACTTGTTAGTCATGTTAAACCAGATATTTTGGCTTTACAGCATAGTGTGCCTAATTGGTTTAAATGAGCCACATTAAACAACAATTTACAACACAGTCTGCAGTGATTATTGATAACACTACACATCTATATACTATCAGTTCCTGTGGACCATTTTGGAAGAGATACTAAAGCAGATGCCCATCTCCAGAGCTGTAGTTAGAAGGGTAGTTCTTGCTGCTTTTTGAAAGAATTAGCAGTTTAGTGAAGGTTAAGTTTTTAAAGTAAATTGTTTATATTTTGTATATCACAGTACAATGAATTCTGATTTACTTTACAGCCAGGTTGGAGTTTTCATGCATTTGTTTTACAGAAAACCACTGTATACACATTCATTTCTTACAACTTAGGAAAGCCCTGAACTATTTTCAACATTTGGATTTAATACCAAACAAAAAAAAAATTTGGTCATTAGCTGCTTGACATCACGAACAAATATAACTTGGAGGAACTTACACTCAATTGTAATGACAGTTTTAGCTTTTATTCTATAAAAGAATGTATAGTAAAATGCCCATAAGAAGGAGAGATTTTTTTCCCCAGTCTTTCCTAGAATTGCCCTAAAAATGTAGTTTTCCAAAGGGTTCCAAAACCAGACTGTAGAGATTCTGTATAAAATACTTGTCCATTACTTAATATTTACATTTTGGAATTGGGTCCCCCCAGTTTTCTGACTGCTTCCCAAATTCTGGAGCCTGTGTCATTTTTTAGGGAGTTATTGTTGCACTATTTTCTGGATAGGGAAGTCTGGGCCAGCTGTTCATGGTGCCAGGGCAGTTTTTCAGTCCCTGTTTAAAACTGGGATAGAGGAGGGGAACAGTGTCCTAGAGGGGGAATTTGTGATGGCCTACTTCTCTGAGATTGAAATGTTGCATTAGTAACCACCATGCAGCTATGCTCTTCCACAACAGTTATTAGGACTCAGAGCAGATAAACACTCATTCAGTGCTAATTAGCACATGTTGGGAAGACATGTTAAAGTGTGTGAATCTTTGGTGGCTACCAAGTCATGGAACTCCACTTATATTAGCTCTAAGTTGTCATTTAAATATAATCAGATAATGGTGTAAGATCTTTTCTGGTGTGATATAGTCAAACAAATGTTTTTCAGTCCAATAGAAAGTATTACCTACAACATTAATACCCACAGGCACAACTCTACCCTACATTGCAACTTGTTTTGAGAGTACAACACAAGCTTCTTAGGCCTACTGGTTACTGAAAATAAGGCTGAGCTTGTTGTGGATGAGAAACTACCAAGTCACTGAAAATTCTTTCATTAAGCAGTTCTCGTTGACAGTATTTTTGAGCAACTGATGCATCTCACTGAGAACTGTTAAAGTTGTCATTGCTACTTTTCACTCTGTATCTTATGAACAACATACATGAAAATGAATGTTAAAAGTTCATTTGTGCATGATGCTTTTCTCCCAGTTTATTGAACAGGGTGAGGAGGATGAACTCTTAAGCCTTATCTAGATGGTCGGGGAGTCATGTGATTCACATAAGTGCAGCACCACTGATGGCAAGCAGTAATATAATCTCAGTGATCAATGATCCTAGTTTCCAGTAGGATTCTCTAATAATAAATAAGAGGTAGAGAACCTCATGCCCAGAAAGTATAACCTTTATTCAGAATGCTTGGTAAACAATGTTTTTCAAGTTTATTAGAAGCAGTAAGAAACACCACCACAGGAGTGCAGATATATCACAGGTGCATGAAGGTGAGAGCTTTCACCCACTTGAAATCTAACAGGATATTATTGCAGTAATAATGTTGGTGGGTTTCTTCACAAAAGTGAAAGTCTTTAGTATATTCCAAGCTTTGGGAATGTTGTGAACTGCATTCTTCATTGCTTAAACTGCAAGCCAGAAATTGATAAGGGGTACTTTCACATTGAAGGGCTTTTGTAACTAGTCTATTGAAACAGCTTGGAGGGGTGAAAAGTTAGGGTTGACATCTGTTATGTTTGCTACCTAAAAATTCAATTTGGTGGAAGTGTCACTAGCCCTTAGCTAAAGTAAGTCAGATCTCTTCTGCTGATTCTCATTTATTTAAACACTGGGTTTTAGATTACCATTATTTTTGGCCAGTATTTTCAAATAGACAAATGTATTAACCCATGTATTCACAGGGGATATTGCTTTATAATAATCCATGATGAAATACAGTGAAGTGTCTGATACACTGTTTTGTACTTAATCTTTTGAGATCTTTTTCTAGACAGATTTTCATACTTAACTCATAGGAAAGCCTGGTATTTAACAAGTTATACTTAATGCCTTAGAGTCTGTGTTTAAAAAAAAGTCTTACATACAGCTTGTTATTACCATAACAAAGTAAACCTACAGAGAACACATTTTGATGGCAGTTAGTCTGATGGGTTGCACAGTTGTGTTTAAAGGATCCTTGCTGATCAGATCTCTAAATATATAGGCCCAATATTTAGTCCTGCAGATTTGCACTTTCAGTTTTACTGGTGCAAATAACTAGGGCTAAATTTATGCCATTTAGATCCATCTGATGTTGCTTGTAAATTAGATACTTGATGGAAATTCAGTATTACTTACAAATTGCAATGGGTGCAAAACTAGAAGCCAGGCCTTAGAAGGAAACTCAAGCAATATATATTTTCAGTAACTGCTGAAATGGAGGCTTCACCCCTGAACCTGTACTCAGAGATAATGATATTTGAAATTGGTAGGCAGAGTTTGGTATAAAAGATGAAGCAGGAAGAGAAAATCCAGTAGTTTTGGTTTTTTTTTAAACAAAAAAAGCTTGGATTTGTCAGGCACTGAGCTCCATTGACTTCTCTTCACAGTGTCAAACACCATGTATTATAGTAACAGCAGCAGTGAGTTGCTGGATGGTTAATTTTTAATCAGTCTTGATTTGAAATTTATTTTAGGCGCAGACTGGAAACCTGATTAATTTCATAGCAATTCTCAGCAGTTTGAGATTTTAGAAAAGTTTTTGTGTGAAACGAAACAGCTCTGGAATTCTAGTATTGAGTACTTTAGATTTGTAGTCAGTCTATGTACCAGAATAAAAAGTTATCTTTTCTCAATCAAGGAGAATCTAGTGCATGGCAGAAAATCAGTTTCAGACTGATGAATCCATGATCAAAAGTAATGATTGCAATGTCTAGAATACAATGGAGGAATTTTATGCTTCATGATACAAGCATAAATCACAATAGACTCTGCACAACTTCATATTTAAGTAATCGTATTGGTTATCTGAGCAAATTACTGAGCTTTTCACTGTCTTCTTGAAAAGCTTTGTCTGTATTCCTGAAAAGGGGATCTACTTCATTCATTATTCCCCTAACTGCTTCTCCTCTTCTGCTTGAACTACTAGTCAGTATGGTTTTGAACCTGTTCAGGAGCTTGAAGTGATGAAATTCTGAAGACATGTATGCGAAGGTGAGCAGCAATCTGCATGCATACACCAGTGGAGTATCTCAGCAAATCAAACAAGGATATAACCTAAAAATAAACAAAAACAAATTAATGTTACCAAAAAAAAGCTTTGAAACCAAAAGGTCTACCCTATAGCTCAGCCCTCATGTTCATTTATTTTAAGAATATCTTTGTTAATCCCATCTATTGTTGGGTCAGTAGTTTTAAAAAGGTATTTAAGTGATTAATTTATACTCCACCATGTTAATTTACAAGTTTAACTTCAATTTGACTTTTTAAAACCATTATTGCAAATTAACCATGTATTTGTATTTCCACTGCTAACAAAGCTTTCGATCTGAATGAATGATTAACTTACTCTGCTAAATTAAGATTAACATCAGAGCAAAAGCCTGAATTCATGGCATGAGTCTCCAGGATTTTCTTTTGTCCTAAACTTCAGCCCCAAACCATGAATTGTAGAGAATAGCTACCACTGTATTGGGTGCCAAGAAAGGAGAAACAACTAGTTTAACTGATGGCATGGGATAAGAGGGACTGAGTTTTCAACCTGCCCCTTATATACACCTCTGTATGAAAATAAGTGTTTAACACTGTTTCAGTGGATTTGTAAATTAAAGTTTAAAATAAATGCTTACCAATGCTATCCATAGAACAATATATTCGTCAATAAAACTGTTGAAGTACTGGTCCAAAAATAGAAGACCTGGCCCAATAAATGCAGTATCTTGAAGATAGATCTCGCTTTTTGTCATGTGGGCCACCTACATAAAACAAGATTTGATAAAGCTAC